CTATTCTGCTAGACGGATGACTCAAAATCCCTTTGGCCACTGTGCAGGACTTGCATCTGTCATTCCCAAGACAAACTGATGTTGTATTGGCTGCTAAAGGAAGCCCTTCACCATACTAATGAATTATTGTGGTCTAAAACCAGGAGTTTCAGATTTATTGTCTAAATAATTTGTTCTTTTAAGGGATACAGTAAAGCCATTCCTATAATTACACAGCTTTTCACAAGAAAAATAACCATGGGTATGAGAGATATTGATTTGAGATGAAATGGTTTTAAAATCCTAGTTGTTTACTGTTTTAGAATAATTTACAGTATACAAAATAATCTTGGCAAAAAACAAAAAAAACAAAAACAAAACATGAACACCCAACAATATTACTAATAAAATATTCCTAATTTAATATTATTAATAGTTATAAGGTAATTTTTTATACATATAATCAATAACTATAACACAGATGCAATATGTTAGAAATTAAGCTTGTATAAAACAACAGAGAGTGATACCAGGATGGTGTAATTACATAGTTGTACACAAAATAATAATTTGAGTTGTAATCTTTTATTTGCTCACCAAACGGAAGGCTTCAGTGAACTAAAACAAATTCAGGCAAGCATATATTGTAAAATCAGATGAGCTTGTTGTCAAAATAACTTGAAGGTAATGACACCAGAAGCCTTGCATACTAAAATGCCCTCTAATTTTGAAAATGAGGGTAATACAACTGTCAATACCCTAGCTCTTCCAGTTGTGGCTTATATTTGGTCTCATTGACTGACTGAGAACAGACATTAGGAGGATGGATAGCAAGACAAGGAAACTACAGACCATTGCAGGCATCCATCAACCTAAAGCTAATGTCTAAAGACAGTATTCCATGAGATGAGATGGTTAATAGAAGTGGAATCTGCTTTTAAGACTGCTATCATTGGGTCTAAGCATTATCATGTTGAGCATAGATATAATTATGTGACCATTGAGACATTGTGATGTTGGAAAGGCAAAATACTCTCATTATGCAGAAGTTAATAATCCAATTAAAGATCATCACTGAGAAAAGCTAAATCGGGCTCCTGAAGGGCACACAAACAATTCATGTAAGTGTATACAAAGCTCTGGTTTAAAAGGAGAGACCCAATGCTTTGTTTTTTCGCAGCCATAACACCAAGTACCAGAAAACATCTTCAATCAAACAGAAGAAAGTAAACATGTACAATAAGTCTGAAGAGCTCATAAAGCCATATTGTGGAACGCTGTACTTCACACAGTCTGAGTAAGCCATTAGACACAACAAAGTAATGTTCAAGCAATGTTCACCAGACTATCTAGGAATACAAGTGCCTCAAAATTACAGTGATCATGAAGCAGAAAAGTCATTACTATCAATGATACCGTCATTATGTGGGATGTTTCAATAGTCGCAGATAGAGCCATTCTAGCTGATTTTTCTGACATAGTGCTCCATGACAAGAAAATACAAATAAATAAAGAGAAAATGTGTGTGTTGATCAATATAGCTCTTCCAGATCATACAAACATCCAGCTAAAGGAAAGGGAGAAGATCAGTAAATACAAGGACCTGGAAATGTGAAAGAAGTACTATACCAGTGATAGTAGGAGCATAAAGAACATTAAACAACGGTTTCAATCAGAACTTAAAGGCATAATTCACCTAAAAATGTAAATTCTGCAATCATTTACTCATCATTTAGTTTCAATGACATTCATAGCAGGAACAAAAAATATGATGGCAGTCAATGGCTGTTTTTTTCACCAACATTGGTGGGAATATTTTGTTTTGTGTTCAACAGAACAAATAAATTCACAAGTGTGGATAAATGTAAAGAAATTGTTCATTTTTGGGAGAACAATCCTTTTAAAATGCTCAGAGGACACCCGAAAAATTGCATGTACGGGCACTGACTGCACACATCCTCCATAAGATGAATTGCTATGTCTTTATTTCTGGAATCACTAATACAACCAAAAAATAAATGCAAGAACAAAATTATTTAAAGGTGACGCAGTGGCACAGTAGGTAATGCTGTCGCCTCACAGCAAGAAGGTCGCTGGTTCGAGCCTAGGCTCAGTTGGTGTTTCTGTGTGGAGTTTGGGTCCACTGGGTCCACAGTCCAAAGTGATGCAGTGAATTGGGTAGGCTAAATTGTCTGTAGTGCATGAGTGTGTGTGTGAATGAGTTTGTGTAGATGTTTCCCAGAGATGGGTTGCAACTGGAAGGGCATCCGCTGCGTAAAAACGTGCTGGATAAGTTGGTGGTTAATTCTGCTGTGGCGACCCTAGATGAATAAAGGGACTACTACACTACTACAACTACTACTACTACTACCACTACCATCACCACTACTACAACTTCTACTACTACTACCACTACCATCACCACTACTACAACTACTACTACTACAACCACTGCCACCACTACTACAACTACTACTACTACCACTACCATCACCACTACTACAACTACTACTACTACTACCACTACCATCACCACTACTACAACTACTACTACTACTACCACTACCATCACCACTACTACAACTTCTACTACTACTACCACTACCATCACCACTACTACAACTTCTACTACTACAACCACTGCCACCACTACTACAACTACTACTACTACCACTACCATCACCACTACTACAACTTCTACTACTACAACCATCACCACTACTACAACTACTACTACTACCACTACCATCACCACTACTACAACTACTACTACTACTACTACTACCACTACCATCACCACTACTACAACTTCTACTACTACTACCACTACCATCACCACTACTACAACTTCTACTACTACAACCACTGCCACCACTACTACAACTACTACTACTACCACTACCACCACCACTACTACTAATAATAATAAAAAAATCTTTTGTTTACAAAGCAGCTGTACAACTAAAACAACTGAGCAGATCAAACAATTTGATCAATATAGCTGGAGTCAATATAGCATAGTAGAGTGATGGTATTGATCAGCATGTTGTGCAATACACTGGTCCAAAGTTAATGAGTCTGACTTGAAAAAAAAAAAAAGTCACACAAGCAGTTACACAAATCATGACAGATCTTTACCAAAATTAGGCTCACAATCAAGGTCTATTTATTTATTTGTTTATTTATTTAAAGTTAATTTGTATAGGCACAACTTAGGCTAAACTTTACCCCATACAGTCTAAAAATAATATTTTATGTGGTCATATTGTACGGGATGTATTTTCAACTAATGGCTTTTCAGGTTACATAAAAGGTTACATTATGTGTCCTTATGATGTTATGGGCTTGTTACTTTGCTCTTTTTTGTGCTAAATTTAGCCTGCCTGTGGCTGTCAGACTACAAGCCTGCACTCTCACCCATCTGTGACGTCATGAGCAGCCACAGCCAAAAAAAGAGAACATAACGCATTATCGCTGATTGAAGAAATTTTTCAACTACTTATCACTGTACATGCTGTTCAAAGATTTTTGAAGGCTATTTTCCTTCCCGGAGATGGCTATAACCTTCTAGATCTACTTTGTATTTTACATTTTCACTATATATATATATATATATATATATATATATATATATATATATATATATATATATATATATATATATATATATATATATAACTTATATATAACTTTAAAGGGATACAGTTGTTCACACAAAAATGAAAATTCACACCTGATTGAGTTTCTTCTGTGCAACACAAAGGTACATATACGTTGGATTGTTGAAAAAAAAAAAAAAAAAAAAAGCAATTGACTTTCATGTTTTTTTGTTTGTTTTTGTTTTCTTACTATGAAAGTCAGTAGAGGCTTTTAAAAGATAAATTCATAAGCATTTAGAACCACTTGAGTGTAAATTTGTGGGCGAATTATCATTTTAAATTCAGGCTAAAGAGTAAAACAGTGATAAGATTAAAGTACAAAAACTGCAAAAATGTTGTTGCACTAACTAGAAAAAATAAGTTAGGGTAATTAAGCAAATTAAGTTTGTCTAACTAGAAAAAAAATTTACCAGAAGAAAAATTAGAAAAATTAGTTGCTATAACCAGAAAAATGTAATTAGAAAAATTAGAAAAATTAGTTGCTATAACCAGAAAAATGTAATCAAGGCAACTATCAATACTAAGTTACTAGATCTAAAAAAAAAAAAAAAAAAATCTAAGAGCTAAAAAAAAATAAGTTAATTAAAAAAAAATTAAAATAATTAATTAATAATTAATTTTTAAAGTTAATTAAAAATTAAGTTGTTGTTAGTAGTAAAATTACGTTGCGGGATTTAGAAAAATTAAGCTGTTTTCACTAGAAAAAAATTTGTTAGGGCAACTAGAATATGTTGCACTAACTACAAAAATTTAGCCATAAAACTAGAAAAATTAAGTTGAGGTAATTAAAAATAATTCATGAAAACTAGAAAAATTAAGTTAAGGTAATTAAAAATAATTCATGAAAACTAGTAAAATTAAGTTGAGGTAATTAAAAATGATTTGTGAAAAATTAAGTTCAGGTAATTAAAAATAATTCATGAAAACTAGAAAAATTAGTTTGTATTAACTATAAGACAGTAAAAATCAAACAAAACGAGAACAAGATCTTTATAAGAATAAGAACTTTGTTAGTGAAAAAGCATGACTCTAATTCCCGTGACAGATCATTGTTCATTATTTGTTTATATACAAATAATATTAATAATAATAATAATAAAGAAAATTATAAATGTACCCCAAAAATGTTGAATTAACCAGGAACAATAGTCTTCCAGTTTTTGACCCCACAACTTCAGCACTCTATTTGTATGAGCATATAAGTATTGATTTCTTGGAATAATTTTCCTCAGAATTGACTTCTCTGCATAATTTTGAATCGATTTTCTGAAAAAACAGGAGGTCAGCTGGAAGCCTATTTATTTGTATTTAATTTTAAACATACTGAGTCACCAAACACACTCATCAAATCAAAAACGAGTCTGTCATTGACCTCTCATTTATTCAGAGATTCAAATGAATATAGAGTTCAGTTATACGGCATGCCAATACAGATAATCACACCTTTACTAGCAGATCAACCCAAGAAGATCCTCTTGACCAATAAAAGGTTTTCAACAGGAATGCGAAAATACATTGATGCACTGTCAACAAACATAAAGCGAGCTCCAATTGAATGCACCGCCCAGACTCAGTAAAAAAGTTTTTTAGTGATCTCCAGAGAGGAGATCTTGACGTCATTCACCACTTGCAGTTTAGTGATGGTCTTCAGGTCTTCCACACGGTGCTTATACTGCATCACTTTGGCTTTGTCGATGTAAACGTGGAAGTGGTCGTTGTCGGAGTAAATCTCAATCTGTCGAGAGACAAGGAGTCCATGCTTATTTAATCAACCTCGCTCATATTATATTCATGATATTTTATCAATAAAGACTCTTGATCACCTGGAAAGGCTCCTCTACGCCGAGGGGGAAGTGGTTGCATCTCTCCTCCTGACCCCAACGGTTGGCCATGTAAGAGTTGCAGATGATATCAGACTCGGTGAAGCGCGGGTTGAAATGGAATGCTACTCTGTCATCGCGGTCACACAGGAAATTGATCTCAAACCTTGAGGACAGCAAAATACACAGTGTAATGAACAAATCATTTTGGCCAATAGCAAGACAGCTAGATTGAAGGGCTATCGTTAAGCTAAGATGAGCCACTTGCATTTCAGTGTTTCTCCATCACTCACGTATGAGTGCATTTTAACAAGGAGAAATGGGAGAAGATCACGCTTGAAAACAGATCATGTTTTAGCTCGTGTCTGTCTCTGTGTAGGAATAATAACTCAACCACTCGTCTGGAATCAGAAATCGGTTGTGTTTGTGGGTCTTGAGTGAAATGGCGTGTAAATACTGTAGCATTGTTTGTCTTCTCTGATGGACCCATTATTATTGTTATGAATTGTATTTTTTTTCTCCCTGAGAGATGTGAAATTGTTTACATCGTAGGTTTTCTTTACTAACAAACTTGAATGAGTCATTGATCGATATGAGTTAACTGTGGATGATTCTATTTAAAAGAAAGAAGAAAATGGGCACTGATTTTTCAGTTCTCAAATTTTAAATTGAGTGCGTCTGACAAAATCAAGCAAACAAATGTGTAAAGATAATGATTTTAAAGGGATAGTTCACTCAAAAAAGAAAATGTGTTGTTAATTTCTGACCTTTTGGCCATTCAATACTGTATGTAGGCGATTTCTTCAAATAAATGCTGAAAAGGATTTTCAACTGAACTGATTTTTTGGTGTTTCAATAAATCCACACCAATATTTGCGGTCACTTTGAGTCAAAATCACAGATACAAGCAACACAATTAGTCTTTGTACTAAAAGATTTCATCGAAGTCTGTGGTAAGAAACTGAACATTCATTTAGACATTAAAGAGATAGTTCAGCCAAAACTGACAATTCTGTCAACATTTACTCAACCTTCACCTACTGAACCATTGATTTTCTAGTACAGTGATTCCTCGCTATAAAGGGGTTCACCTTTTGCGGGCTCACAGTTGCAATTTATTTAGTGTAATTTGACATGCTTTTTTTTCTACAGTGCATTGTGATTTCCTTTGTGCCGTGTCTCCTGTACAGTACAGAATGCGTTCAGCTTGCTAAATTTACATAAATCTTTGATCGCTATCAGTGTGACTCTAAAGTGCTGGACTGCATGTTTGCAAGTTTTCTCCCACAATGTCAACAAAACATTGTGCATCATGAAAGCCACCTTGGCACCAAAGGCCAATGGTTTCATTTGCTGTAATTATTTGGGAGCATATATTAATTTTGTGTTGCCTGTATATGTTTTTTTTTACTTCAAAAATGATGTTTATTTATATTTATGAATTACCAAGGTCCACAATTTTCTTTCTTAGCTATGTTGTAGTGAAACAAAGTATCTTATAGTTTTGTAGCTGTAACTGTCATTTTAAATATTACGTTAACAAATCTTATTCATCTATTTATTTATTTTTACATGGTGAGAACTTCAACTTACTTGCTGGCCTCAGGTGGGGTTTCTCCTTTTAGGATGACACTCCATCCTGGACATAGGCCATCAGGACAGGAAGCCTCAAACTAATTAAATACACAAAAAATACAAACATTGTCACATTCACTTTAAAGCTGATCATAGCAAGCAAAAAATAAATAAATAAATGAATAAATAAATAAATAATATATATATATATATATATATATATATATATATATATATATATATATATATATATATATATATATATATATATATATATATACATACAGCTGAAGTCAGAACAATAAGCCCCCTTTTTACTTTTTTCCCCGTTTTCTGTTTAACGGAGAGCAGATTTTTTTTCAACACATTTGCAAACATAATAATAAATAGTTTTAGTAACTCATCTCTAATAACTGATTTACTTTATGTTTGTCATGATGGCGGTAAATAATATTTTACTAAATATTTTTAAGACACTTCTATACAGTTTAAAGTGACATTTAAAGGTTTAACTGAGTTCATTAGGTTAACTATGCAGGTTAGGGAAATTAGGCAAGTTATTTTATAATGATGGTTTGCTCTGTAGACTATGGAAAAATATATAGCTTAAAGGGGGCTCATAATTCTGACTTCAACTATATATATATATATATATATATATATATATATATATATATATATATATATATATATAATGTTTTGTGAATGTTGCGATTAAATTATTTTAATGAATGTTCTCTTAATTACCCATTTTAAATGTCAAATTGTTGTTTTTATTATTAATATTATGGATATGCAATTTTTAAGGTAAATTCAGCAAAAAACAAAACAAAAAACAGCTCATTTAATAGAAGCATAAGATGAACATTTAACTAAACATTATTTAACATTTTATATTTCAATTAGCAATGTATAATATATTTACATTAACATTTTGAGACAAACATTTAACAACTTAAGAGAGCAAATTAATGTCACAAATGCAGAATTCACACTGCACGACGGTCTTATTACTGCATGATAAATCAGCTATTGGAGGTAACAACATGTGTGACTTTACAATAGGAAGAATTGCCAACTGCTCTATCTGGTCTGCAAATTAATGGCAGTATTTAAAAAAAAAAAGAAAACACTGCATTATTTTGGGCCAGATTTTCACTTAGCCTACTGACTCGCTGGACATGTTACATTGCAGGATTTGTAATTGCCAGCTCATCCATTAAGCATGCCTTAATGTTTCAAGGGCATCTGTGAACTGATCATCACTCATGTGAAAGAGCAAGATGTGATTATAAAAACTTGTCGGGTATAGTGAAAATCTGGGCAAAATTTGCATTGTGAACTGAATTAGAGACCATTTCTTCAAAACCTCAAAAGATGCTTTAAGCAAACTTTTACCAAAGTTCTGAAAATGTTCATTAGTTAAGGCCAGTGCACACTACGAATGATAATTCTGAGGATAAATTAGATTTAACATATAATATAATAATAATAATATTGTTCTCTTCACATTAAATGTACTGCACTTTTGTTATTTGCCACTTTTGAGCTCTTTAATGTCTGGCTGTTAATACTTTTACACGAAGAAGCTGTTTTAATAGTTTAACAGGTTTTTATAACTATTTATTTATTGTAATCATTATCATAGTTGATGTGAACAGACTTTTTGTTGGAATGCATTATAAAATAGGATATTGAAAACTGATCAGCGATTTACAAACAATTATAATGAGAATATATACCCCAAAAAAATAGCTCAGTAGTTACACTAAGTGCTTTGAAATATTTGAAGTATTTAGCATATTCTATAAATATGCACAATTAATTCAATATTTATAAAAAAAAGCATGTATAATGCAATTGCCTGAGCCTGTTGGTAGAATTTAAAACCCCTACAAAGCAAATGCCAACAATGTCCGAAATGATTTAAAATCAGCATTGGTCTGACACTAATGAAAAGCATTTACAGGAAACACAAGGTGCTTGGGAGCTTCAATCGTCCAGTTATAACAGGCTTCTCTTTCTGGAATCTCATCTCCGAATTCATCAGGGATTAATAGACCTTTGGTTTACTGCATGGCTGTTGCCATTTAAGAAAGAAATGAAGACGTGGAGCCTGAAGCTACAATCTAACATGCAGCTGTATTTCTTATCTATAACAGGAATTGTGAGTAACTGATCAAATCCATTACTGATAAATGAAATCCTTTTTCGTTGTTGCTCTCACAATGCTTGGCAAAAATGCATTGCCCAATAAGATCACCAAAAATCATTCTATTTTTTTTTTTTTTTTTTGGTCAAATAAAGACCATCTGACATCTCTAACAATATCCTGCTTTTTGCAGTTCAGGCATAGGTAATATAGACAGGGATATTTGCCGAAAATCAGCCAGACATAGAAAATTGAAAATAAACATATAAAAAACATGAGAAAATTGGTCTCCACTGAGCAAGAGGTGAGCCGTGGCTTGTGTCCGCAGTTTCAGTGCAGCTCCATTGGCCAGTCTCTGTTTTATCTGAGACTTTGATGTGCTGCTCTGCTGTTCCATGTTCCACAGGCTTTGTTATCTGGATTATGAGCCATTTTCATAAAAGGTTGGTGCCACATGGTGAGGACCGCTTGGGTAACTCAAAGGAATTGCAAAACTCGTCACGCTTCCCATTCTCATCAGCGCTCGAGATACGCATGAGATTTCATGCAGCATTTATGCACACTCGGAGCGGCGACCAATCTGTGAAGTTTCTGCTATAAAATTGTGTATTTGGAGCTGCACCAAAAGTCTCTGGTTGTTTAAAGGCGTCTCAATGACATCGGGAAGGAAAGCAAGCTGAATTCTGCTGCTTCACAGGTAGTGATGAAGTGCTCTTTAGATCAAAACTGAAGCTATTTCAATGTGCTCATTACTCTGAGTGCGGCAGCATGGAAAATAATTAAAGCATCATTAGTTTAGCTTGCAGAGTGAGCTATGCAGAAGAGTAAAATCCTGTTGCCATCTTATACGTGTAAAAGGTGAGCAGTTTTAAATCAAATATTTATCATCTGAACCTGCCTCTGGCTTAAATTATTCAAACTAAAGATCATGCCACACCACAAAGTGGCTTAATTGCATCAGCACCTTTTCGCTAAGTGCTCAAGCACATGTCAGCATCAGTAAATCTTGAAATACTTGCCTCCCACTTGACACAGTAATCAAACTTGAGTTTGTTTGCAGGTAAGCAGGTTGCGTTTCCCTTACCCGTAATGTCATCTCGTCTTCAGCGTTGTGTATTGATCAGCTTCCAGCTGGATGTGTTTTGGCGACGAGGGGTCATTTAAAAGAGAGGGGGAAACCACGTGAGGTGAGCTTAGCAGGATCTGCACTGCAAAATGGGCTTTTGTGTCGTGCATGAAAAAAACAAAAACAGATGCAGTGTGAAAAACACAATGCATATGCAATACAATAGATTTATCCTAAGCCACACGGGAGGGATATGACAGACACCCTGAAATGATATTAGATCGAAATCACCGGCAGAACATTTCAGGTATTTGAGCAGTTGCAGAAACATGATTGCTGATATAATGGATTTCGTATATGGAAGCAATGATGTAGTTAATGATCCATCGCTCATTAGGAAACACAAAACATCACAATTGAAATGAATCATGGGATTTGTTTTTCAGCCAGTGGAGTGTATACGTTATCTGGGGGAAGATAATGTGATTTTGATGACCGTGTTTCAGCCGTCCAGGACTCCTGTAGGTGCTGGCGGAGAGGAATTGTTGACATCAGCAATGAGCGAGAGGTGCCATGTGACATTTTTCAAGCCTTTTTTTTTTCTTTTTCTAAAGCGGTGAATGATTGGCTGCTGATCCTGGGGATTAAACAACTATCCATGTGGGTGTCTGTTTGGGCTTTATAGCCTATCAAATCTGCCAGCCCTCAGGAATTTCCTGTCTGCGTTTAGTCACAATGCCTAGCTAAAGCTCATCAGGGCAGAGTGTGTGTCCCTGCTTACAGCTGCAAAATACTCGGCATTTCTATATGGCCTAGGCCTTAACAATACGGGACTTCATAAATAAAAAAAACATTAATCTTGTGTGCAAATGCACTGTTACACCAAGCATAAAAATCTGACAGCTTTTCCAAGCAGACTCTTATTACTTTGGCCTTTAGAGACAGAATGTCCAGAATTACCCACTTTACTCTCTGCCAGTCATTCTGTATAGTTTTTATTGTTTAGTATATGTGTGTATGTGTTTACACGAATGGCCCTTGGCCCCTCTGCAGTTTCTCATCAGTTGTCCAGGCGCTTACATGACTGGGGGCTCCACCCTAAACACCCTCTTCCACCCCTGAGACAGACGAGAAGGACACAGCGGCATTCTGATCACAGTGCGCTGTCATCTCCATGCATGCCAGGGGCTCCGTCCTGCTAGATTACATCTCATATGAGGCTGTGAGGTGCCTCTCGGGTACCACAAGCCTAGACGCACAGTGACAACAAATGGTTTGAAACTGGGTGGGGGTCTTAACAGAATGCTAATATAAACTATCAACTACAGCACCGAAACCCAGCATTGTGACGTATTGCGTTGTTTTTAATGCTGTCTCTGTGGTGTTATCAAACACTCTCTGGTGCTTTCTGCTTATGTGAATTTAGAATGAAGGGATGTGAATCATGGGAGAAAAGATGTTCACATTTACACAGAGAGAACGACTAAAAGATAGATAACCAGATGCTTTGTATAGGCAGGTGGGCAGGTGCATAGTTTCTCTGAAGGTTGCTAGTTCCTCATTACAAACGTGGTTTGTTGATTAGGTGTTTTCCAAATCCATCGTTTCAACGAACATTTGCAAATTGTGTCGCAAACTTCACCTACACCTCTGGAGCTGTAGTTAGAAACATGGTTCCTGGCTGTGTTCTATTAATAGTTATCCCCCTATGCCCTCTTTGTTTAGAACATTCTAACATTTAAACTTAGAATTTAAAAATAAAACAAAACATTAAAGTCATTACTCTTGGGTGTAATTTGCTTTCAAAGTATTTTTACAGTTCAGATTTAGCGATCTTCATGTTTACAATATAGCGCTCCCTTCGCAGTGCACTTTGAAAACATTGATGTCATTCTGAAAACAGCTGTGGCTCATGACGAAAGCTATAGGGGACCTATTATTTAAAAGCATTTATAAAAAAAGAATTTATGTTACGTTTCTAAAGCTTGTGAAAACAAAAAAACGTACGTTAGTGCTTTTAATGTATAGGGTTTATATTAAGTATCTACTGTATATGAGATGGGCCTGCTGGTTAGAACACTTTGCAGTTGTTTGCATGTGTCAAATTGTAAAAGTAGACTTTTAAAAAAAATTAATAAACCATATCTTAATAATAATAATAATAATAATAATAATAATAATAATAATAATAATAATAATTATTATTATTATTATTATTATACTAATATTAATTATCATCATCATTAATATTAATAATATTATTTAAGTAGAATTTTTTTCATTTCATAATAAATAATAAATATTACATTTAATTTCTTATTAAATAGCCTCATTTTTTATATGTTTTATATATGATATTAGAATACATTTTGTAGGTGGTTTTATGTTTTAGAATAGAATATGTAATGTTCTCAATAATATTTTGTAAAGGTAACACAGGCCCTGTATGTGCCGTTTACATATATTTCAGTTAATATAGAAAACGAATGCATGTTTTTACCAAAACTAATATTGGATTTTTTTAAATGTGTGTGCGAGTAAAACAATATAATTTGCACAAAGAAATTATGGGTTTCTACTTCACCCCGTTTAGAGCATTATTTCATTATGGGAGTTTTATGTTATAACTAACATGGTTCAAACGACAGATCTGCGAAAGAGAAACTACAGGTTTTGGGAAACACTCATCACTACATCATTCTTTTCCCAAACAATTCATTGTACTATCTGTGAGTGACGCCATTGTTTGGGAAATGCATCCCTGTTTGATTGTTTTTGCGATAGCTGTAAATGTGGAAGTGGAAATGCCAAATGCCACCATGAAGCAAACGTTTAGGCAGCTGATGGAGTACAGACCTTTTGCACCATGCTACGTTTAACCTAAATCTGGTTGTTTTGTTCATAAATATTGCTGACACTTAAATTAAGCATTATTTGTTGAGTGGATCACGTGCTTATGATTGACCACAGCCGGTCCCGCATTAGATAACCATGATCCTTCAATCATATAATTCCTAAGTCACTCTAAATAACCAAAGTCTTCATTACACAACAATCTTCATCTGGAAGAAACCCACCTTCCTTCCCTTCGTCTCCCCCTTTCACCTAGATTGGGTGACACGACGGCTCAGTGGTTAACACTGTTGCCCCACAGCAAGAACACCACTGGCTCTGTTCCTAGCCAGGCTTGTTGGCATTTCTGTGCGGAGTTTGCATGGTCTCCCCGGGTCTGCGTAGGTATCCCCTGAGTTCCTCCCACCATCCAAATATATGGGTCATATGTAAACCATCTAAGCCTAATTGACTTCATAGTCTATCTCCTAGCAATTTTCCCTTGTCAAAGTAGTTTACCTTAGCCACATCAGCAGGGCAGCTTTTATGATCTACCTGAGCTCAATCTCCCCTTTACCCTGCAAATGAGACGGAGGCCTGAGCTCATGGATGCCAAACTAACTTATTATAAATCATCAGCTAAGTGTGAAATCTTGAAAATCATGTTTTGTTGAAGCTTGGACACACCAAGCTGACGGTTGCCTGTTGGTCAGCATCAGTCGGTCAGTGAATTTAATGTGTTTCACAAGTTGCCCTCGTCGAGTTACTATTGGATTGAGGTTACTCGATTCTGTGTGTAAAATCGGCATCAGCCGACGGCTGAAGAGAGCAATTTGATTGGTTATTCAGCAATAGATCAGAGCAGGAGAACAAAAACTGAAGTAAACAACTAAATAACTTGCTTGAGTATCACCAAAAATTGACTTGACTTGCTTGAGACTAGAACATTAAGACTTGAGACTTATGCCACGTTCAGATTGCACGATTTTAGCCCCAATTTTGACTTGCCGACAGGTTTTTAGAAACCACAGACAAATGCCTGAAATCACGGAAAAATTGGTGCTCGGTCATGTGAGTAACAATCACACAGTGTGAACTATCAAAGATGCAATACTGAGAGAATTGCAGATGAGTAGCCAATGCCCATGAAATATTTTGCCTGCTAAATATCTGGAGTTGTTGGCGATGGAAAATTATGCTGTGTGAAATGTGTTGTGATTAAAAATAAGATCGGCGATTACCTACAGCCAATAAGAGAGCAGCAGGGTATCTGCAGGCCAGCAGGAGGTTGGAGAAGTTGAAAGAGCTTCTTTTCCAGTTTTTATTTGGACTCAAGAAACGAAGGAAAAACTAGTGGAAATTTGGCAGGAGCACCTGTGTCTGGTAGATGTGTCATCTGAGCAACATCACAACCAGGTCAAAAAGAAAAAAGCTGAGGAAAAATTGCTAATTCCCTTCAAAGGTTAGGTGAGCAAAATAAGTTTGCTTTGTACCCCACTAAAGACTTTTTTTCTCAGTTTGTAGTTAATAACAAAAGATATACTACATGACAGAACATGTGCTCTTTATTTAGTTGGCTTATGTCCTTTATGGTGTGTTCATGTGCCATTTTTTGGTCCAGACACCCGAGATGTTTTGGGCTGTATCCTCTGACTCCAGGGTGATCTTGTCCTTTTGTAAAAAAGGTCATTTGTTGGTTGTATTATTAACTCAAAAGGGTCTCAGGTTCTGGTTCTGTCGTAGACTCTGGCTCTGTAACCTTGGCACTCTTACTTGTAACTGATGGAAGAAATGATCATAGACTTACTTTAGAAAATGGAAGGATGAGTATCTTCATTCCACTTAACCAGGTTGCATAGCTTGAGGAGCTTCTCCAAATAGTCTTTGAGATGGAATCTTGTGAGAGGGAAAAGAGCAGGTCACCAAGGTAGACAGATGATTATGCTGTTGAAATCTTAGTGTCCTGGTTTGGCCTTCTTTCAGGGTATACCAGATTGAGAAACACAGATGTTTCATTTGTTGAAACAAATGAAAAGTGGTATAGCAGGTAAGTAATTATGTTAATTATAGACAGGAAGAGAAGCAGACTGGAGAATAAGAACAGATCCATGAGAGTAAACATACAAGCATCACGAATTGTGCTTTATAGTAATTAGGGGGTCTGCTTTCATAATGGAAAATTTGCAGCTTGGATGATGCCAGAACAACAGCAGCAGTGTGCGCACTACACACCAG